GAAGGCATTTATTTGAAACTAACAGAGCAGAAACTTCAGTGCACATCATCTAACTAAAGGCCTCCAAAGCACCTGCTGCATAGTAATCAGTTGTGATCGGTACATCCCCATTGCTTCATAAGACACCAAAGTGCTCCCCATTGTGCTCTGTGCATAACACAATGACAACAATCTGATTGATATTTCTACTCACCACTTCAATCAATGCACATTTTCCACATATTTAGGTGATATTTAAATTTAAATCTCCTGCTATTAAAATGAAAAGCATTTTTTGTCCCAGGAGCTTTTCCAGCCTCTACCTTATCTTCCCCTCTAGTGCTTATTAACAGTAATCCCATGTCAGCCTCACTACCTTCTTCTCCATCCTGCCCCTAACACAAAACAACACTGCAAAGTAAACAAGCAGAGGTGTGTGGGGGCCAGGGCATAATTAAATATGGATTCATAAAAGACTGTGATGTTACATATGAGTAGAAGTACAGCCTTTGGCTTAGCCGCGCACATTCAGCTACTGTTTCTTTCCTTCTGTACAGCCACAGTTGGATAATGATCTCTCCCACTGATTTAGATGGCCCTTTCATGCCACACAATGCCATAAAAAGCCCTTCCCAACCAGCAGCAGACAAAGCCAAAAAAAATTTCAAAAAATGTGCTTAAGATCAGACAGTTATGTACACAGGGAACAACAGCTCTAAAGATAGACAAGAGCAGCTCTACAGGGCCTCCTTGCCCACACTGTCATGTACTGCCATCAGCCATGAACACAAGGCAAATGGTCAAATAAGTCCAAGTCCTGCTTATGGATAAGACACAGCACCATGGACACAGGGAGGTCCTGGGTTTGTACGTTGTTAAAATGCGCTTGAGACAGGTGACAACATCTTTTAATAAGCTGTCCATGAGGATCCAAACAACTCAGCCTCTGAAGATGACAACAGAGACCATTTTAAAATTTTGTCTCCAGGCTATTTAATGGTTTAATTCCAGTAATTACGACAATTGGGTCATAGTGGTAGTGGTGGAAATCAAAGTCTTTAAATGTTGTGGGGCGCCTGGCAGGCCATAAAAGCAGGGCTCAAGATTTGCTTTTCCAACCTCATATGACACACTTATCAGGGTGGGAAGTGGAATGGCCATTGCATTTATGCCCAGGCCAAATCACTTTCCACTTTCACTGGATCTGAGCATCTAATCATCCCAGAGCCCTAGTTGCTAGATAAATCCCTCTCATGCACCAGGACTGATTAGACCCCTCTCCAATATAAAAAGATTGCAGCCGATCACCCAAGGCAGAACCGTCAAACAGAGACTAGCACACGCCACCATAAATCATCAAAAGACAATTGAGATGCTGGTCATTGGGATTAAACACTAATCTAGAGGGTATTTATTGTAGTCAAGTCCAGCTCCACTTGTGGTGAGCAATTGCTATATCATCCACAGCATGAGCAGAGACATATTATGGTAGTTGTGATTATAAGAGCAATTAAGCAATTGAAATTAAAATATGTGCAAGTGTCTGTTTGAATTGACCCTATCACCACATTCTTTGCAGTCGTTTTGACATTCGTGTTAATGTGATTGGCCTTTCAGCTTCACTAACTCATTTTAACAAGATGTAGCTCTGGTGTGGCCGAAGAGGAAGCAAAGTTGATGGGCACAAAGGAAAAGCAGAGAATGGAATAAAAGAGACAGCTGAGGTGCATTAAACTTGTCAGAATGTAGCGGCCAATATTTGCTACAATGAAAAAGGTTTGCTTGACCGAGGGGAAAAAGGACGAGCAAAACAATAGGGTACGTCCTCATTAAAATGGCCAGGATTCATCTGCGCAGATGTTTATGTATGAACACCTGAGCCTAATTTTAATCTGACAAGTCTATCTGTTAAGTATGTGTGCATAATAAACTAAGAATCTGTTGATGGGGAGGATCCTTTGTGTGTGGACGCAGGTGTCTTTCCATCTGAGAAGAGGAAAACATGACACTTGAAGAAGGGGCGAAGAGACAGCCCGAGCAGGTCAGAAGCTCTGCTCTGCTTAAGGGAGCGTGGCAAACATGGCTATAAAGGACACAGACATAGGACGTGGCCCTGGGCAGCAGACAGGATTAATTGCTGCTGGCACACGAGGCCACAGGATAAACGGCCATGAGCAATGGACAGTGGGACGTGCGATGCAGTGATGAAGGTGTTACGCAGAGAGGGAGAGAGAGGGAGAGGGAGAGAGAGAAAGACAGAGAAAGAGAGAGAGAGAGAGAGAGAGAGGGGAGAGGAAGAGAGAGGAAGAGAGAGGCTGGTGGGAGGTGAGGTTAATTAAACTCTTCAGCAGAAACACTCTCATTCATTACAGTCATTACTCTGTTCATTTAATCTGCTTTGCTGTTGGCATTTTATCATACTCTGCCCCCCTGTAGTGTCATGCAGGTGATTAGGTTTCATGTCGGGGACCGCCCACTCTGCAAAGGGGAAAGTTCGAGATGAGAGAGTACTAAAAGAGACTCACAAGGTGCGTTTGGGTCCTGTAACTACATCAAGGAAAAAGTAGCTTGTAATTTTGAGTTACTGGTGGATATTTCTCTTTATTTTCCACTAGGGATTTGTTTTATAATGAAAACAGCTTTCACTCAATACTCAAATGAGCTGAAGGCCAGTATACAGTTGCTTTTAGAAGTGCAGAGACCAGGCTCTAGAATGGATAGAGTAAAGAAAATTCAGGGACAACCAAATCAAGCCGAATGTTGTGTGGTGTTGTGCTCTGAATGGCTGCTTAAAATAGACACTGGCTTCACCTCTGTGTAAAGAATAAGAATAATTTCCTGTCTGAGGGCATAGTAAGAAGAAAAGCCAGCCAGCTACAGTAGAACAAAATGAATCGTATTGCCACAAAACATCCCCCATTTTCAACTCCATTAGGCACCTCTCACAGAGTTGAAGCTTTGTGCATTTTTGCCACATCACATGATTAATCACACGAGACTGGAGAGGCAGAAAACACCCTCTACGTCCTCACTGGAGAAATCAAAGGTGCCCTGACGGGGAGCTGGAGAGTTTGGAACAACAAAGTCACAATGAAACAATAGATGGTGACACATCTACAAAGCAAAATTCAGAGGGGAATAGCAGTTCTAAGGCAGCAGCATCAGACTGATTAATAACAAGCTGTGCTATAAAATATGAATCACGTGAGAGGCCGCAGGTAATGGACATAGACTGACATTTCATGCCTCATTTAGATTTGTCATTTGTCATTTCTATATATTTCTTTCAGACTAGCTTTTGCAAAGGGAAAGATAGTTGAAGAGGGTCAAAGCCTAGAATCAAACAAACTGTGGGTGGATGAGTTATGAGGAAAATGTATATTCATTCATAAATGCACAACTGGCAGGCAATAGTTACAGTTACAGCCATGTTTAAGAAAGAATGAAAGAAATGCTTGTGGGTGGCATTTGTTACATCTTTAAAACACACTATTTGCACTAATACATTCTGGCCTCAAAACAGTGTATAATAAACATACAGTACATCAAATAGAAAAAGGTCATTCATATATAGAGATAGATCCTTTTACATTCTTTTTGTCCAACAACAAATTAAATAATGGCAAAAAGGTGTTCCCTTTATTGGACACTTTCTGCATTTTTTTTTTTTATTGTTTGGTTCTTTGAACTATGGAGTTATCAGTATCTCAGTACACAAAATGTATTGGTTATTTTGCAAAACATAGCAGCACATGGTGACTATGAAAGCAAGTATTTTTGTAGAATATTTTGTAGATTACTTTCATTTTTTGTATTACATTAGTATATTGTTACAGTAATCAGATAGTTCCAAGATTTCAGACTGAAGAATGCAGATGTTTATCAATTTCCTGGTGACCAATATCAGCGCTGAAGTAGACCACAGATCATGTCGATGTCCTTTACCGTTCTTGGACAGACTGTAAGACCTCTGTATCCTTCTCCAATCAGGGCCAGAGCTAGAAGTGATGAGTGCACAATACTGCGGCCGGCCTGGCTGAAGCATGAGCTGGTACCAGTGACCTTCAGCCACACCCAGGGGAAACACAAACAAGAAAACATGGAAGACAGTATCCAGTGAGAGGAGAGATGGGCATAAACAAAGACAGGGCGGGAGGGAAAAGGAGGAAAACAGAAAAATGCATGACTGAAGTGTGGAAAATAGAAAAGCTCTTCTCTTGGAAATCAGCAGAGCGCAGAGCTGAAACTGACAAGAAAGATGAGTCTCTGTCCTCTTTCTCGCCAGTCTGATTAAAACTCTCACTCCAGAATGAACCAGGCACCATGGGAGCCACAGAGCAGTGGTGCTGAAGGACCCAGTTACTACAGGCATGCACTGAAATACTTCAGATACTTGGACAAAAGCAGGACCTTAAAAACAAGGTGAAGCAATGAAATGCCTCAAAATCCCACCTATGGTAAGACACAACCCCCAATATGAAAAGTAATACGGGCTTTTCAGAGCATCAGATAAATAAATGCCAAAAATACTGTATATGTTCAAGAATGACTACAGCAATGTATGCAAGTCCAAAACATTAACCCAGCATACGGCATAATTTAGAACAAAATGCCTTGAGATTCTCTAGACATACAAATAAATTGGTGTAGAGCTCAACATAGTTTTATAAACATTATAGCCAACATTTAAAAATATAGCAGTGGGCAGATTGTTTCCATAGAGAAGCCCTTTTTTAGACTGGATATGTGAGCAAACAGAAGGAGGTATAATTAAAGTTCTAACATCTGCTTTTGGGGCTCTAAACGTGTCTTACAGGCATTGCTCGCTCCACTTCCTTCAAAAGAGGGACGCTAAATAAGGAAGGAGCAGAAGCTTGCAAACAAAGACACTAATCTCCTGGCAGTAGCATTAACATAATAGCATATTATTGTAACAGGGAGTAGGATTTCTCCAAGCGAAATTTCAACAGCTGATGGAGGAGGAATGAAGAGGAGGAGGGAAGAGGGGGGTGGGGGTCTGGAGAAAGGGACGTAACCTGCGTACAAATTAACAGCACGACCAAACTCAAGCAGCGCGAGTTTCTTTACCTCGCCTCCCTCTCGCGCTGCACTGGTCTGGGTCCTGTGCCGCGCGCCGACGCAGCTGGACACTGCAGGAGGCGACATTGCACGGCCGGATCCACATCACGGAGCCTCCGCATAACCACCGGAGCTGCCAGCGTGCCGTCCGCGCAGCCAGCCCTTTTGAGCCGAAGGTTTCTTTCTGCCATGCCTGTTCAGGACCAGAAGCTTCCAAAGTACGGAGCCGACTTTGCTTGGCGTGGCCGCACAATGACTTTCTTCACCATCTAACGCCTCACTATCTACAAACAAGCGAACTGTACAGACACGAGGATCGGCCCGTCATCAGCAACAATAAAAAGGCACTTTACTGGTCAGCACCGCGCTTCTACTTGCGAAAATGACGGTATAAATGAACGCAAAGGGCATCGAGTGCGAGGCAAATGGTTTGGGGAACAACTGTTTTACTTTGATGAGAGCGGCACACGGAGACTGCCAACCCCGATACCTGCCGATAATAGGGCAGTTATGAAACAGGTGTTGCGGAGAAGGGCTTTGACTGAGGTTCGGAAACTGCCAAAGGATGCAAGACGCGACTCGACAGCACTGCTCCACGGCCAGCTAATGATACGCGTTTGAGGAGAACAGAGAGCGGAATAAACTGTGAAACTGGCACAACAAGCCCCGGAGGCTACACTTGGGGGTACCACCTGATAAATCAACAGATGCTTCAGTCATGTGGCTGTAAGTCTGGGGATTGGGTTAATTTAGCAATGCATTATCTGGGATTGCACACCGCCTCACTCTATTAATTACAGCCATAATGGCACAGCGGCTGTCCAGATGTCCTTGGAGCATGGTGCACTTGTGATAAGTTGTGCTTAGGTCTGGGTTGTGTCTGGAGATCAAGTGAAAAGTTCAACATGTTTATTTGCATACATTCTGTTTAAACTATCTGGAAAATCATGCATTTTAATTTAAGTGAAATATAGTTCATAATGTGCGTCTGTATTCAGGACAAATTAGGGAAAAGTATTTTAGGTAAATTGAATTTGAACACGCGTCTCACTTGGACACCATTACATGCCATTACTCATGCTTAAAGTGAAATGGTTTGCTTCACCTTGTCAACAGAAGTGTCATTTTCGGTGACAGAGAAATGATGAATTTGGTCATTATTGATGAGCTGAGTGGACACACGCGCTGTCGTCTCTCTGCCTCACTCTGAGCAGAATAAATTACACAGTGCTGACGGCCACTCACAACACAAACAGGCACTGACAGGGATATTTCCATGGTGAAATTTATGCTGCAGGTTGAACTAAGAAATTCAACCTCAAGAAAGCCAGCTGTCAACCTCTCCATTCTCCTATAAGGGTCTGGCAAGGGAAAGAAATAACAAATTTAAATTCCAATATCCTCTCAATCTGCAGCTCGGTGAAATTCATTCAATTCTGGGGCATGGTAATCGAGTTGCTCTCAGAGACAAAAAGCTTCATAGACAATCTGATATTACGAATGGTGCCATGATCCACAGCGGCCCTCCCCCTGTGCCTCACGGCAGATTAATCACTCGAGATCGCTTCTTCTCCTGTGTCTTTGATTCATCTGATGCAGAACAAAACCCATGTCTCTATATCTCAGGATCAGTCAGGCCATGCTCATGCCTCTGCAGTGTGCAGAAAGTCCTTTTTTAATCCGAATGAGTATTTTTCTTCTCTCAACTTTAGGTTTCCCACAGGGAGATTATTTATGAACTATTGCTATCATGGTGTAACACTTTATAGGCATATAGACAGCCAAATTGACTATTAATCTTTAACTCGAAGTCATACCCCAAATACAGCGCAGATCCCCTGAGGATTTCCTTCTTCAATGATTCAGTGGGCACACAAAAGATGGCACATCTCCTGTTAGTCTAACACAGGGAAGTTGTGTCTCTTCCATCAGCCAGATATCAATACATTTACCATAGACAGATTTTCCTGAATAATCTTGTAGGAGATCTCCGGCTCAATCAGGCTCAACTGTTGCCATTATGGCACATCTGAGCTGGTAATGATTTTATATTATAATACCATCGATTGTGGTGAGGGGTTGACACTGAGCAGCACTGAGCAGATAAAACACAGTCCAGTGATCTGTGCCCTGCTTTTCAGCTAAATACTACAAAGAGACGTTTTTTCGATCGCACTGTAAAGTCAATGATCATTTCTCAAGTCAAGATCAATACCAAGGTTTATACTGTCTCAGGCTGAAATATGAGCAGTAGGGAAAAAAATGAAAGCACATTTCAAGCCAAATTAGCATTGGCTGCAAGTGCTCACGCAGATGTACACAGTGTGTGTACACACATTCACGAGTCAAAGCAGCTCTAAACAAATAGCAGGTTATCAATATTCATCTGCAAAAGGAGCTGAATTTGAGATGATTAAAGACTGCAGCAGGGAGGGCGATCATGCGCCAGAGACAACACAATCAAACAAACAGTTTGACCAGGCATGTGTATCTGAACACAATTAATACATGAATACAAAAGAAGGTGAAATCATTGCACAATGAAAAGTAAAAGTCAAGACAATATCTTGCATTAAAGAAAAACAATGTCAAGATGTTTGTATGTAAAATGAACACAATTTAATTCAAAGAAAAAGAGAAGAAAAAAACTGCCGTCTGCTCTGTGTGAGGAGCCAGGGTAGATGGAGCTCTGGCCAAAGATGAAGAGCGCTCATTGCTTACTAAGCGCCAACGTCTTTAACCATAGCAACAAACCACTTTACATTTGTTTCTGAAAGAGCACAGCAGGTAAAAGCGTGTTCTCATCTGTCCCATATAGTCTTGACTATATACAAATGGCTGAACACAAGAGTGTACAAGTATAGTTTAATGCCAGTACAGTGTTACATTCTCATTAGAACATTTTGATCTTTTTAGGCATGGTGCCCACACCCCAGGTGTGTGTATCAACCCTGGTGACGGTGAGCACAATGGCTGTGGTGGACCTCTACCTGCTGGAGCAGAGCATGCTGGGAGCTCGCGGTGTTCCGGGACCTAGTGTGTGGCAGTGTGTGGCCGTGTTGCTAGGTGATGTGGGCTTCCTCCTTGCACTGCGCTTTGTGTCAGCCGGTGTGGTCTCAGAGGCTCGCTCTCCACGCCGTGGTTTTGCCAACGCCCTGTGGTTCATGTTCCTGTCTCTGCTTCAACTTAAGCTCTTCTTTGTTTGCCACAACTACCGCCAGGAGCGACGCCCACCTGATCCCTTGGCCCGAAAAACACTGACCTTATTGCTGTCCATCTGTCTGCCCTCCCTGTTCCTCATACTGACTGGGGCCGACCACATGAGCCCACAGAGAAGGAAGCAGGAGGTGCGCGGTCGGCTGTTGTGGGTGGTGGTGGACCTGCTGGACGTCCTGGACCTTCAGGCAGGACTGTGGGAGTCTCAAGGGGGCACAGTGCTCCCCGGGGACCAGAAGTTACCCATATGGGCCGAAGGCCTGGTCTTTTTTTACTGCTATGCACTGTTGCTGTTGCTGCCGTGTGTGGCTCTCACAGAGCTGGGGGCCACTGGATTGCCAGGACAGAGAGGGCCCCGAAAGGAGGCTCTGTATCCTTGGCTCAGTCTGGTCACCATCAACCTCTTCACTCTGGCCCTGAGGGGCACAGGCATGCTATGGTACCGGGACCCTCGGATCTCTACTGTGTTCCTGGGGAAGAACCTGCTGGCTCTGGCAGTGAAGCTGAACTCTGCATGGGAGAGGCACAGACAGGAGCAGCGTGCTGGAGGGACTGCAGTGGAAGCAGGAGACTCCAGTGGGCCAAGCCAGAGCTTAGAGCCCAGAGAGGCCCAGGCCCAAGCTAAAGAGTTACCATCTAATTACCACTCTTTGACGCGTTCTCAGAGCCACACACTGTCTCATGTGAGCCTCCAGCCCTCAGAGACGGCCTTAGGACCTTCTTTCATTTCTCATGAACTATAGAGAGCACACAGCACACAGACGCCTGTATCTATTTCAAACAGATATCTGCACTAAGCCTCGGTCCCTAACTCATGCATTTAGTAGTGCTCAGCTTGGATTTCTGAACCAATTTAAATTGCAATGGTGTGAATTTTGTGTGTCATTATTTAAACTGAACATTGGGAACTGACGTATGTGTGAAAAGAACATTGCTTAATTGTCTGCTCAAGTCTCATAATAATATTTTTCGCTGACCCCCAAGTGCCAGAATGACTTTGGGCAGTAAATTCTTAATGTCAATTCAGATTTACACCCACTCAGTGCACTCCCCCAGAGGTACCTATGTTGATCTGAATCGATTTCATACAATTAATACTGCATTTTTTTTAAATCTACAAAAAGCAAAATTATAATTTATCATGGGAATCAAAATCATATTTTAAAATCAGCTGAAAAACTGTAAAAGCTACCCATTTGAAACTTGCTAATCTGTAGCTGAAATGTACTATGCTGGAAAAGGAAGAAGCCAAACAATGAAAAAGGGAATATACCCCCATCTCCTTTTTGTCATGTGACTTGCTAATTGAATAAAGTTGAATTCTATCCAAACAGAAAGAGTGTGAGAGCCTTTATGGCTCTTTATGTCATTCAGAGACTGCCAATTGCCTCAGCAGCAATGCATTTGCTTGTGCAGCTCAACAACTGAAAACTTTTACATTTCTCTCCAAAGGTGTCAATAGGCTATAAACCACAGTTCAGAATGAAGTAAAAGTAAAACTTATTTGGCTGTTTCAAATTATTGTCTCTTACTCCCATTTTCTTAAGATTTATCTGTAAGCATTATGTATTTTTTCCTCAAGGTTTACTAAGGTTGTTTTGGGAAATACTCTATGAGACAATTGTTGTCTCAAAGTGGAGGCCAGGGGACCCCTGAAGAATAGCAAAGCACTCAGATGGTATTATCAACATATACTCAAAAATAATAGTGCTGTATTAACAGGTATGTTTTTACTGAAAATGGGAATATGTTAGGGGAACATTTTGCAGTGGGGCTTCCAGGTCCTTTGCACGGTTATTTTTGGGGTCCAGAACATACACCATGTTCTACCAGGAGTCTACCCACTCTGCATCTGAAAACAACATCTACTGTGGAGCTATAGGGTGCAGCGGGCTTGCAGAAGCACTTTTATGTTGGGCACAAAATGGTAATCAGAAAAACACTGTGACTTTGCCTGTGGTGAAAGTCTGCCTCTAGAATGATTTAAAATATTGACAATAGCGGTCTAGTAATTTAATAAATATTTAATAGCAATTTCTCACATATGTCAGAGCAACAGATTTCTATGAACGGTTTTGTTAACGCAGCTAAATTGTAACATTAATCCCCAAACATGTTTAAAATGTTGTGACTAGTTTTACTACTTTTTTAAAAGAAAACAATGTAAGTAATCCCTTTACTCCTGACTTATTGATGTTATATTTGCACTTTTACTGTCTATGTGTAATTTGATAAAGAAATTATAAAATTATACCTCTGACCTTTTTCCAATGTTTGGTGTGACAGGTTTAAGTACAGTGTATATTTTTCATTCAAGTTAGTGCTTGTGTTCACAAAGCTCCATGTGGATCTTGGACATGTGCAGTGTAAGATCCACAGCAGCTGTTGTCAGATACACTTCCAGGACAGAGTTTAAACTAATAAAGTGTCTCATACTTGTCTGGTTTTGACAGCTCATTGGCCATTGCATAGGGGCCAACTGGCAGCCTGTCACTCCTTAAATGCCCCAATGACAACAGCTTGGTCCAAATTATTCACCTAAAGAATAAAGCATTGAACTGAAAAACCCCAGTCCCTGGTTTGAACTCACTTAAAGTCAGAGGCTGCACATTTGTTTTGATCGGGAAACCCCACATATTCCAGCTATTTCTCAGACAAAAGGCCACAATTTATCACAGTTATTCCCATGGCCCTGTCATCCCCGATCCACAGGCAGAAACTACACGACTCGGCAAAGTGTAGTCTGTTTTTATGCTCTATGTGCTCTATGTGAAGAACTGGTTAAGTGTGTGAAGCTCATCAAGTGGCACAGTATCCACAGTCAATGAATGGCACTTAGCGCCCTGGATGAACACCCGCCTCTCCAAGCTTTAATGGTGCTATTAATTGAAACTGAGCACATTTGTTAAAATGCATGAATGTATTTTCACTGCTTCATGCTAGATTTACAGCCTATGTTTACAAAATGTATTAAGACTAATGCACCCTCTCAGCCACAAAACGTCAGAGGGGAATTTCTTTTTGGGTGCAGCAACTTTAAAGGGAACTGGCACAGGGAAATCTTGTGTAGCAGACCGCATACACGCAGCTCCACCCGGCGTCTTTCATCTCACGCCTCTTCTTTCACTCTACATTTTAAACACATGCATTCGGTATGCATTCGGTATGCACTCCCTGTCAGGCAGCTCCTCACATTTTTATTATACTAAAAGTAGTGACTGCAAAAGCTGCAGCCTCCACAAATGACTACCTTCTAGAATTTGTTACACCTGTTAGGTCCTGAATACAATACTCAGCATTTTCTCTCAGCGGCCACTGACTCAGAAGCTGCTCCAGAAGAAAAGAGCACTTGTACCACCATTTTCTGTTTCTGTGGCCACCGTCTATTCAGTGTTCAATGCTACTAATTTCACTGTGGCCTGTAATTATTCTCCTGGACCAAAGCTGTCACTCTGGCTTTATCCATCACCCTTTGCTTCTTTTATTTCTCTCATTTGTTCAAATTTGCCCCAGAGCCGACAGGCAGCCTACCCCTCTGCACTTCCCCTGTCGAGGGTTGTTAGTCATGGCGAGAGGGAAAACAAAATGAAGAGTCAAGACAAGCTGAGATTAAAGATCCAGTGTAACCGCCTAAGGCACAGTGGCTCTTAGCTGCCATTTTTTACAGTTGTCCGAGCGGCGCTTGTAGGAGCTGGTATGAGAAGGATGACCACACACTTGACAATAATGGCACTATTTACACATGTCCCAGAGACACCTAAAGGCGACACAAGCTTGTATTTTGCCTTGGCTTATACCCATTTCACCTCATTACCCTTGACGTGGTGATCACTACAGGATGCCCACGAGCCTGAGCCACAGAGTTTGAACAGATGTTAACAGATATGTCTAAATCATTCTTCATAGCACACAACATAATCACTACTGCTTCTGGGCAGTCGTTACCCCCCCCCCCCCCCCCCCCCCCCCCCCGATGATCCTGTTCTTAGATTCACCGCCAAACTATGCTCAAGGATTTTTGTGAAGAAAGCGCCAAGGCGTTGATGGTACAAATTTAAAATGAATCATTTCTATCATACATCAACGACCAATACCTTTGAAGAGAAATCTTGCAGCACTAGGCAGCGTAGACTAAGAAAAAAAGCCTTCACAGCTCCATGACAACCAGCAGGACGTCACAGCAAATCCAACTTTGAGAACTTCAAATGAGACTGTCCTATAACCAGTCGACATGCTTGCCTTGTATCACTGGCCTACAGACTGATGCATCGTTCAGAAATTCACTCCTTTTTCTAAAGAGGTGAACAGTGAGTGATGGAGGTCGGCTGTAAAAACATGTTTTCGCACAGTGTCAGAGTTGTCTTTTATTATGCAATGGGAGGTAAGAGAAGTTTTATATTTGAAGTTTGAGTGGAAGGACATCAAACAGGAAAAACCAAATGAGAGGCGACAGTCCAAAAAAGATTTAACTCTGCTCCAACTCAAAAGGCAATTGAGGGGTCTGCCAAACAGCTTAAGAATAAACATTTTTGTTGTTTTGGCTCAATGTATTTTGTTAAATTAAATTCACCTAACTGGTACATAGTGGTTTTGTATGAAACTTTGTTGTTCCTGTCACGATATACAGATATAGGAGTCGAAACAAAAGGGAAAGGTCTTACTGGTCAGTATACATTCTCATCTATGGCCATGAGCTCTGGGTAATGACCAAAAGGACAAGATCACATATAAAAGAGGTTTCCTCCACAGGGCTGTGCACTTTAGAGGAGGAACTTGGAGTAGAGCTGCTGCTCTTCTGCATTGAGAGGAGCCAATTGAGGTGGTGATCTGAACACGTCCCACTAAGAGGGGGAAAACTGTGTGTTTTCACTTTTGTGAAAAAACAAGCAAATACTAATTGATTTCTCTTCATCTATTAAGAAATTTGTTGCATGAATGTGTAAAAATACCAAATGGACACAAATATGACACAGGGTAGCTTATCACTCCAATTGACTGGAAAATAAAGACTTGCAAGATAAAAAATAAAAAATCTAAATCAGTAGAAAAACGTGAATCACTTGCCGTTTGCACTGATGTTTCGCAGGTTTATATGGATACAAAACTAAAAGAAAGAAACCTGTGATGTCAAATTTTGATTCATTTGAAGCAAGAGAGAAACCTGCTACATGATGCATGAAGGCTACATTAAGGTTGAGGTATACTTAATTATTCCCAGTAAGGGAAATTCCCATAATGCCAGTGGGCAACCTGTCAGAAGCACTGGGCGACTGCTGTGCGGTGCTCGAGGACCCTCCTCCAGATATTGAGCTAGGCTTGGTTAGGAACACCTTAAAGATTTACCCTATTCCACAGGTTTTGATTAATGGGGGAAACTGGAACGTGCATAGGAAACCTACCCCAACAGGGAGAAACATGCAAACTGCACAGATAGTGAGTGTGTCCTTCTTGGTGTGTTCTTAATCTTTATAGAGTAAATTAATTCAAATTGCAGAGCAATATAATTTAATGAGGCATTTGGTGTAGGGTAAATGAATCACCTTAACACCCGCAGAGCATTTCATTATCTTTTACTTACTATTCAAATTTGCACAAGTACTTAATTCTTATTATAAACACACTGTTCATTATGGAGCGGGAGAGTGGGTCAGAGTAGACTTGAGCAAAGAGACAATGATATTTGCATTCCACTATAATAATATTCTCATACAAAACATGAGCAAAGAACTGACTAAAGAAGCAAACGTTTAGCAATACAACATTTGAAGACAGCAGCCAAACATATATAAAGGTAAGCCTCGTTCATTACATACAAAGGCCTTAATTGAACACATGAAAAAAGGTCACAAATAGAAGGGTAGAGGGCTAAATGAGTATGTCTAACCCTTATATACTGTTAATTTCTTAGGCTTTCACAGTATGGTCCAGGTCAAATTTGGGACGGACCAAGAATTCCCTTACAGTAAGTGTCTATACCAAATAAATAGACTGTCCCACATGAATAAATATATGTAATATATAAATATAATGTTTCGGAGAGCAGGAAGAGCATATTTTTGTAAGTTTTCCAACACTCGTTTTTTGAGAAAAACATCTACTATCACACAGTATCATGTCCTGGTTTCCAAAACAAATAAAAACATAAAAGCCAATATGATGATGATATTTATTGCATTTGAAACTGACATGAATATTCTGGAACTGTTGGAATGTATAATATAACCATTTTTATCCACTGCAGCCATTATGCTTATTTCAGACTAGTCAATGCATTCAAAGCAGTGGTATATAAAAGTATAACATTTAATAAAAGTCATCAAATTTCAAGATCAAAGCATTATGTTTAGTGTATTTTTACTGCTGCTGAATGTCAAAACGGGTCAAAATTAACCTGAATAGTATGTAAGGGTTAAATAGTGTGGGAGAAAAGCATTGTTCAAGGTGTGTCACTCATTGTCAAATCCAAACAATAACAACAAACATTACACTTCTTTACATCATTCTCCGCCCACTTCAGCTCAGGCAGGTCAGTCCAGGCTCATTGTCATTTGGCTCAATGTGGGTTTCTGGACGAGTGCTCAGATTAGCAACTGGGTCATTGACCACCTACAGCTCGCCATTTTCTACCTCCACATATTCTATTATTTCATCCCCGACACTCACATGAATAAAGGAGTCATGAGGCGACATTAATGAGGCAGCCACCTGTGACGACAGAAGCAAAGACAGCTTACTCTGTGTTGGTCCAAGGGAACGAACAAGAGTTAAGGTGGGCATTTCCCAAAAGAAACAGCATCTGTTCAAAATTGTGCCTACAGTGTAACTATGCTAGTTTGTGTTTTGACAGAAAATCTATCCAAGATGTTTAAAATCTTCCAGACAGATGTTGTGGAGACAAAAAAAACATTTATTCAAACACTCATTGCTTTATATCCAAAGTTTTGTTCTTTTGGTGCAGTTTAATGGATAAAAGAAAAGCCTATATAGATTAAATGGACACTTTTTCTAAATCTGGATAAGTAAAATGAGTCTTAATTACTTTTATCAAATTCTCTATGATTTAATGGGAATTTTATATTATACTGTATTGGTCCTAACCTTAAGGAGATCTCTAGAAATGCAATCAGCTACCCTAAAAAATTTAGTAATTTATAAATGCCTTAAGATGATGCTCATAGTCTTTATTTATTCACAAGAAAAAAAATCTTTGCTCACAAACCAAACATG